TTTGACTAGTTCTCTCTTTAGAAATAAAAACATATTTAAATATACACCTATTCAAATTTTGAATGTTCATATTACATCGGTTCCAAAACGGTATAGTATCTGCATTTATCAGAAGCTTTCTGAATGTTATTGAAAGGTCTTTCTAAACAATGTATTGATAAAGACACAATGACAACAACAACAAAAACAACAACAGCAACAACAATGTGATTAACTGACACATCATATTTTATTGCATCGATTTATTCAAGGTGATAAAACGTACATTATCTTTCACATAGACTAACAATTATAGAATTGATTTATTATTCCCACAAGAATGATCTGTTAACAGCAACGACTGCAAATGAAACAAAAACTGAAAGATACTCTGAAATAATTACAATTGACAATAAACCCAATGCCTAACATAATGTTATGAAGATCTGTATTAATAAATTTACAGCATATTGGCATATATGCCATTTTCTAAATGCGTTTTAGCAGACCACACATTTATTCGAACATAATGTTACTTATTTTCAACTTGAATAAACTGAGTTGACATTAAAAAACTAATGTATAACATAATTATATTTTGGTCTTGGGAGTAAATATGCTTAAAATAACCAACCATTTAAGTGGTAAAGTAACCATTCTCTATTCTAATTACGTATAAACATACATGCATGGTACATTTGTCTCTATAAACACGTCTACACAAACATATGTGTAGGGGGTGTTTATACAGGTACAGTGACATATGTGTAGACGTGTTTGAAGAGATACACATTCATATATAAACAGCAAAGTGTATGTTTATCGAAAGCAAACATCCACCTGGAAATGATCATATTTTTGATCATTATACACTAATTTAAATGTTATTTTCAACATTAATGGTAGGGAAAATATCATAAAAAACCTCACCACGGACAGCAATTGTATTAATTAGTCCTGTGTAGTAGTTTTGTTTGTTTTTGTTTGTTTTGTATGTTGGTTTGTGTTTGTTTGTTATTGTTTTTTTTTTTCAAAGACTAAACTCTACTCGTCTTCAGAAGTACACTAGAAATATTGCATTCTTTTTATTTCCTTTTCTTCTACTACTTCAAGCATTTTATTTTGTTTGGACACTTAACATCATATAATATTTGTATCATAAAACAAATTGGAATGAGATAATGATGCTCAACTGTCAACTAGATTCTGATTAAAACTCTATTGAGTTGTAACAAAAATAACCATAAATTCAATTAAACCAATGGTTACTCATTTAAACTCTTAAATTTATCGCAAAGGCTACGAAATTTTTATGGCACTTTTACGATGTTTAAAACGATTATAAGAGATTGTTCGACAAAAATGAGGGAAGACAGATATTAAGGATAAGTGAAAAATGAACTATGTATGAACATTTCACACTACTCCCGTTTTTGCTTTTTTGGCGCCTTTGCGTCAATAAATCATTTTTATGGGGCATATCGCTATACGAAAGGCATAGGCAAATGTTAAACTTGACGTTTTTATTACCTTAGGTCCAATATACACCGTCAGAGTTGAAATAAAAATTCTATCTTAATTTTCTCTGCCTTAAAAGACCTTTTTTTCAATTAATAATGTAAAATTTGGGGATAAATGAATCAAAGAGATTATAACTGCAGTAGAATGTAAATACATTAAAAATTACATTCACAAACGGTACAGCCGGAGAACACTGAAGTTAGGAAACCACAGTTGCAGTCTTTAAAGTTTCAGACGTGATATCTATAGATATCGGATAATTTTATGGGGAATAACAGAACATTAATAGTGAAAAATGTCTTATTATCTCATTTCGTATGCATATCGATTTTTCAGAAACTCGATATAAACGTAATGCGGCAAACTTCAAAGGGAGTGCATGAACCAATCAAAAAGCGATATACTAATGGTAGTGATCGTAAAAGTGATATAAATGTCGGATAATACTTATCAGTCATCGTGTTTCCATTGTTTACACTTCTACACGATTAAATAAATGGTCCTATAAAACAAGATATGGTATCGTATAACAGAATCTTAAACGGTGCACTGAAAAGATACCATGATATTGTATTTACATAAGTTTTTTTTTTTTTTTTTTTACAAAAAAAATCTACAATTAAGATCAGTTAAGCTCTGTCTTTATCAGGGTATTCGCTCTTTTTTCTTTTTGTTTCAAATGACATAAAAATGACAATATAAAAATGACTGTCAGACACAAGAAAGTTTTAACTGAAATGATATAACGAAGTAATGGTCACAAGATTGACCAAAAAGGTAGTGTTTATCAACTATTCTTTTTAATTATTTCTGGGTTTCATGCTGGCACGCTCTAAATATAGATTTCAGAAGAAATATTTTGTTTATCAAATTGATTAAGTTGTTTTTCTGATTTCTTTTTTATCTTAAAGATTCCATGTACCTTTGTAGATAAACATGTAAAACTGGACTTTGTCGGGAAACTGAGCTCAAATCTTTGAACACAACAATTTTTTTTCAGCAAAGCATTTTGTTTCCATTATAATTCTCACTCTGCTACTAATAGGTTCCATATAAATTTCAACATTTCACATTTGTGGTTTCACTAAGTAGGTTCGAATCATTAAAAGACGGTTTAAATACATGCGGTTATATTAGATTTACATTTTATAGCTAACCCACGCCTCTACTGTACTTTTGAAATAGAGCGATTTCATTCTTTAGATTCAACTTTGTATAGTCTTCTAAAAGTGCATATACATTTGAGAAAGAAAGAATACTCGTATTCATTTAAAAGTGCATCACGTCTTTGAATTTACTATAACTTTTCTAAGATTATGAGTTATTGGCTTCTCAGTGTTGAACACAATCATTTTTAAATGACAAAGACACAAATGATTAAGATATAGTTAAATGATATTGTTTGGGAAAAGAATAGTACTCTTATAGCTTCATTTTGGCTTACATTTAAAACAAGGATAAACTTTCAAAATAGCACTTTTTTTTGTACAGTACGGTCAACGATAGAAATAGATGCCATTGACAAAATATTTAGATCATCACCTGTTCATGTGCATTAATAAAATAACTAATTCAAATATTTATTATTCAGAATATTTACTTTATTCAGATTACATGCCTGTTTAAAAATAGGGAAAAAAACGTCATTTTATGTTTATTTTTATCAATTTATATACACATGTTAAGCATATTTCTGAAAAAATAGTAATATTTTAGTACACAAAGACTAAAAATTGGTAAAATATCGATTTTTCATACATAATGCCAAATTTTGATTAATAACTTGTTGAAAAATAAGAAAGACTTCAAAAGAAAAAACGTTTCACGTCCCTTTTATTAAATGGGCAAATTATCAATGGCAAAAGAGATTTTTATCACATGACCTGTCACGATTTAGCATTGTCGTCTGCTCTTAATATAAATTATATTATACATTATACAAAGGATTTTCCACATACTTACGCTTCAGATGTCGTAAAAGTATAAATAACTGGACTTCAAAAACTTGAAAAGTACAGAGTAGATATAAATTACTTACTTAAAATACTACAGATCAAAACATTTGATTAGTGGGCATTGTAAGAATTTACAAGCGTTTGAATACGTTCGAGGTGCAATGAATTATATTTGCCAGAGAAAAGGATAATAAATAATAAATTTAGAAGCATTCAAATGCTGTTCTTCCTCGAGAGAGTGGAAATAAATGATGTTCTTATGGTGTTAAATTCAATGGATATTAGATCATACTTTTATTTTTAATATGAATTAAAATGATTGAATGATGTTGCAAATGTAATCATGTTGTTGTCATGTGTTTATTCTTAATATATCCTTAATATTAAATTTAAATAATATAAGAAATGGCAAAAAAAGTTATTTTAATTTTTTCTATAACAAAATTGTTTACTCATTAACTGAAACATTTAAAATCAATATATTGATTTATGACACAGCATCGATTTTAGAATGATTTGTGAGTTAAAAACTGACGAAGATGTGTATACCATTTCAATACAGAAAATGTTTTTTTTTATGAATTGCTTAAAATTCCAAGCAAATGTATATTTTTCCAATATTCGCTTTATTTTCTTAAAGCAAAGTTAATCTAAATGTTTCAGATGATTTATTCTGTCAAAAAAATCATCACCTGAAATATATTGACACAATTTGACAGTATTGTTGGGTAATTAAATGACATCGCCTTATTATTTGATTTATCATCAACAATAGATCAAATAAATACATTGTAAATGATAAATTGCATTAATGTAACGAATCAAAAACCACCTGAATAAAAAGAGTCCACTTAAATAGATCATTCACCGTTTTTATTTCTATGAAATAAAATAGTTTACCTAATTTGGATTAAAATTGATGATTTGATATATTTATAGTGCATTAAATTGTCTATCAACCCAGAAGGAGCTTTTGTTACAAAAAGTTGCTACTACGACTGCGTATGAAATGATTTATGTCAAAAAATGAATAATTTGATTATTTATTCATAATGACATAATTTGACAACACAATTGTATTTTAATCCTTGTATTACAATTGCAAATTCCTTAAAGCGTCTTTTTATACATCTCCAAAATTTCAAAGACTAAAGAGTTACTTGCGCAATCGCTATAAACAATAATAAACAACAACAAGAAAAAACAACAAGAAACAACAGCAATTGCATAGCAAAGAGATATTCTCGTTTAATATTGATTTTGGAATAATAAACTAACTGGTAAAGAAATCGCAAAAGAGAAAACAAATGACTGACAACACCTTTAGGTATCCCTTTTGGATAAAATAACATGATCAATTCTTTTTTAGATTATTTTGTTGTCAAATTATTTCATGCAAATGAAAGCTTTGTGGTCATCCAAATAGGCAAACAATCAATAATTTATTGTTGCTCTTCATATTTATTTCATATGATTTTGTTCTGCTTGCATGTCGAAATGTTCCTTATTGTACAGTAGCAAAATTATTTTTATTCCTTTATACAGGCAAAAAGGCTGAGAGTTTCACAAGAGGAATGGACAATGATGAGGGTAAATATTGCATATTTGTGTTCACTTTAATTCTTCAAAGTGTACTATTTGTATTTGTAAATGTTCTTCTAAATTGTTAGCTATTTATTTTCCCATCCTAACTTCTTCGAAAAAAGAGCAACCTAATACCCAAAGTGTATATATAATGTATATTTCTGTTTCATTCTTATCATAGATTGTTTATCCAGAGAATAAAACTGCCTGTTGTGTTTGACAACACTTTCATCCGCCATTTTCTTTGAATTATAATCCATTAAATTTATTATAACAAGAAAATGACACAAAAGGTTTTAATGATGCATTAAAGTGTCTTTTAATCAAGATGTGTCCTGAGATTAATAAGATATTTCACATTTAAATATTATCTTTTAATTCCGAACTGAATATCTTAAAAGGTTTTGTCATCACAACGTTTTGTTTCAAGCGTTTCTTTTACTTTATTCAACAATTTTTCATTTTGACTAGCATATAATTGATATTTTAATATTCCAACATCTTAACATATGACAACTAGAATTGTAATGAAATGCTAGATTTACATAGTTTATGGTGGATATATGATTTACAGGCTGTTGCATCTAGTTTGATTTATCTATATAACCTTTGTTTGTATAGAATAAAAAGTGATACTTTATACAGTAAATGGTGTAAAAATCCCCTGTTACTTTGTATAAGTGTAATAATTATGTTACGTGAAGATCAACAGTCCATAATAAAATATTTGCATGTAGTTTATGTTATTTTATTTTTCCAGTTTTAAAGATGTTCTTTTTAAGTGCAAGGGGATATATCCTTTAAATCAAAATTATTGCATATCAAATTGTAACACTTTGCTAAAAGACAAACAAAAACGATAAAGACTGAAATATCAATTGTTGGAATAAATTATGGTTCAGTTATATAAACTTTGATTTGCCTGTGTATTCATTGAATTGCGGGGTTTCTTTCTAAAAATATTGATTTTGTAAATATACCATTTTTAGAATAATTACGTCTGCACCATGCAGATATGCAGAACAGCATATGACTTTGACGTCTGCTTATTTGGTTGAAGTTGACAAAGTCGCATTTCAGAAGCATTTTATTTAGGGAAAGCATAACGTAAACAATAGGAATAGAACATCCATTTTTAACACGTAGTTTTCTTTTAGAATTCTAGAAGTTCTTATTAAAAATAAAGTGTTTTTGAGAATGCCATAGCTTCGATGAATTATAAAATATAATTTTCAGTTTTTTTAAATATGATTCTGACCAATTTCGTCCAATATTTGGACCAAAATGCTTCTTAAGATTTCAAATCATGTCAGGCACGGAAAAATCTTGCCGACATACGGTAGACCTAACAAAATACACTGATGTCTTCCTCCACTTGTAAAGCTGGAAAAATTGCTATATGGTCTTTACCGTGTTGGTGGGACTTACAATATATATACGTATATTTAAAAATTGCCAAACAAATAGTTTCTTGCCCTAGTTAATGATTACAAATGGTCAACATTGTACCATTAAAAAATAACCTTTTCCCATTTTTTCTTTATGATTTGTTTGAACACATGTTATATAAAACACATTTTACTCTATAAATCATGATTATTAGAAGCTTGATGTTGTGTAACGGCATTTTTATCTCATTACATTTCCCTCTTACAGTTTTAAAGCACATCTAAATGTTATCCATTTATTTACTGAAGGTTTTTTCCTCGATTGAATTAATAACATTACAGTGGGGATAAATTTATGATTTCCCATAGGATCAATTAAGAATAACACATTAATCCGTGATATAACAATTTTCAAACAAATATTATCTACAATATTTGTAATCTTGCCTTAAGCCCAGCAATTTAACCGTCACAAAATATCTGTTTTATTAATAAGAACAATAATCCATATTTACCGAAATAATGTTACATATATTTGTTAATGATAAACATTTCATTATAAGATTAACAACGTTTAATATCACATGGGAAAAATAAAGTCTACATGTTTTAGCATGTTCTATTCATTTTATATTTTCACAATTTGTTAATGTCATTTTCTTGAAAACACTGTCCGCAGGTTTTCTTAAACATTTTTTTATTATCTGGCACGTTCTCTATGATGTCACTCAGCATATTGAAATAATATCTTTTTAGAAAAAAGTGTTTATTTTAACTTTTACCTGTCTAAATATTTTTGACTCGTACAGTGCATATGTGTGATGGATCTGTTCGCAAACACGTTGATTTATAATTAGAATATGAATTCGCAAACTTGTTTTACATGACATGAAAACATATTCAAGAATGTTGTCCTCAATCAAAATTCCTTTTTCTGGTAAAAACTGCTTAGGAAAATAACCAACACATTTCTAAAAGAACTACTATTTTAAAAAATCTGTAGAATATATATTATGTAGAACTATTTTATTGCAGTAGATAACAGTTTACATGTGTATACATACACTGAAACCTGTCAACTGTTATAATTTGTGAAAGACATTAAACACTTTTGTCATTAACTGCGTTTTAATGACTCGCGGGCGTCGCTAAAACAATATAATGTCATCTGGACTGTCTAATATACTCATCGTCAGATAATTTATTGCTTGTATGATTTAACTATGACATACAGACTACATATTTTAAAACATCAGGCTTTCAGATTGTTGCATCGGTCGTTTTGGCAATAGCAATTTGGAAGGAATGTTAAATTCACAATTGGAATAATCCTTTGCCGTGTGTACTATTCCACGCAAAGAAGACAACAATATTTATAGTCCGGCGGTATTAGATATAATATACCTCAACATATTTTTAACAAAATGTACAAAGTTAATGTCCGTCAGAGAAAAATCCGTTATCAAAGTCGCCTAGCACAAACAAAGCTATTTCCTTTTTCAGTTAGGAGCTTAAAAAAGTAACGAACATTATATAAGATATTAATTGATTTAATAGGGCTTACATGATTTTTTCATTTCTCTTTTTTTTATTTATCTTAACAGTTGCTTACTGCTTACACTGCATCCTACCACTAGTGTTCAATAACAGAAATAATTCGTTCAAGATATTCTAGGGCAAAAATATTTCATGTAATATGTGCATGCTTTCTTAAAGTAAACCAAAAGGCTATTTCTTATTTCTTTTATTTCTATTTACCTTTAATAATTAATAATAAGCCTTTATACACAAGAACAAAAACAATATTATAAACAAAATACAGTAAGCTTCAGGATCAATTTGTTGAAACAATCTGGTATCTCGAAGAGAGACTGGTCACGCAAGATCATATTTTTTTCTTGAAACGTCAACAAAACTCTAAAACAAAACAAAACAAAAACGTATTCTTTGTTGATATCCTTGTATTTGATAACGGATTATTTACTAAAATGATCTATTGCACAATACCTTGACTGAATAAATTTTTCATTTACTTAATCCATTTTTCAGATGCGTTGTCCGTAATTTTCTCTCTACCAAAGTTTTAACAAAATTAACACCGAATAAATAAGGTGTAAATATGTTTTAGAATGTTGACATACATAAATAGATGCATTTTTCTCCCGTTTTCATGGGGTAACGTAAGTTGACACGCAATATTTTAGCTAAGTGTCAGACCCAGCGGTGTATTTGTAATCACATACTCTAAGCGGAGAATATATTTTTTCATGTCAACAGTTTTTTTATTAATTAAATATAATATATCTTATGTCATGAAAGATTATAAGGTTATTTTGTGCAATATATCTTCATCTTAGGTTGTTTGTGGTATTTTTATTTGCTTGGCCCACTGTTTTTGAACGTTTCATGTTCTAGTTAGCATATCAAAACAGAAACGTCTATATATAATGATAATATAAAGTAAATGTTAGAAAAATATAATTACTGTTTTCAAAAATATGTGTCTTGCACAGTTAAAGATTTTGATAAAGAATTTGACAAACCTTTTTATAAGTTAGTTGTATTACGTATTTTACATATATAACAAAGCTTTCCTTTAGAAGGCATATTTATCTTAAAATGTTGTGCAAGTTGCGCAATGGTCTTCGTGACTAACTATTTATTCTTCTTGAATTGAGACATTTTAAACGAAGCGGATATTAAATGATATAATATTGTGTTCTTCATACAAACATTTCAGTAAGAATATTTATGTAAAACTAAATGTTAATCAGCTGTTGGTATCATATCTTTATGGAAAATGATCAAGATTGACAATTTGGAAAAAACACACAATTGATGTACATTTTTACAATTTTCCAAAACACTTTATGTTGCTAAAATATGTCTTAAGAACGTATCGAACATATACATTTTCCTCTTACAGTTATACATTATAACATTATACTGAATGAAATCGATAAAAATATTGTTTCTTATCATCTTTATCAGTATGGGATCATTTTAATGTTTAAGGCAACAGTCTGCGTTTGTTTAACATCTAACTGTTTAATTGAACCTTACAAATTGATCACAAGTGTACATAAGTGAACATGAAAGAACGTAATGCTGTAGTGTCATTCATCGGTATTTGTTAGAAGTACATTATCATGCTTTGACCGATATTTTCAGTGATGACATATTCATGAATGTCATTCGAAGCCTTCACTGAACCTCTGAATATTATATAAGTACAATAAATACTGGTTTAGGTAAAAAATATTCACAAATGTAATTTTTCAATCAATAACTCTTTGATTGTTTCTCTTCATTTCAGATGTTTATTTACTTTTTTGTCAAAAAAACCATGTGTTGAAAATATTGACGATATCTAAAGAATTGTAAATAACTATGCATATAAATGAAGTGTTAATGAAATTCTAATTACCAGAACTTTAATAATATATGAATTTTTAGTACATGTGTTATCTTTCAATAAATAATGTGTATAATATAGATGGGAAATTATTGGTCTATTTCAGAAAGTAATGATGGAGAGTCAAAACGATCCCGCACCTCATATACAAGACATCAAACCCTGGAACTAGAAAAAGAATTTCATTTTAACAAATACCTTACAAGGAGAAGAAGAATAGAAATCGCGCATGCGCTAAACTTGACTGAACGACAAATCAAAATATGGTTTCAAAATAGGCGCATGAAATGGAAGAAAGAGCACAAACTTCCACATATAGCCAAAAACATGAACATATGTAATGCTCTAGAGAAAGCAGCACAGGAACGCGCAAAGGAGGCTGCAGCTGCACATGCGGCCGCAGCGGCTGCCTCAGCACAACATATGTGATCCGAGTGCAATCTATTCTATTTGTGTTTAATTTCATGCATCTATCCAGTCACTATATGTGTACACATTGAAGTTAGTTACAGACAGCATAAGTTAACCGATATATAACTTATGCGAGATCGTGGTGTCCTTCGGTAACTGCTTTTGATTTTTGAAAGCAAAGATGTGTTCACTATCATTTTTTTATTGAACGTGTGAAGTTTGCAGATCTTAGCACAACGGCAAGAAACATGTGACGTGTTTCTTCAAGGTCTTTGATGTCATTTGTTTATCTTTATTTCCGGGACAAGATAACATTGATACTTAATATTTATTTCCAGCGATCATTATTTGCAGATTATATACTATATCTGCCGATTTGACCAATTAATGTGGTATTTTTATACTTATAAAGGGTACGTGTTATCCAGTAGAACAAAGGTTGTTACCGACATGTTTTCCTCTTCAAAATCCATATCTACTATGTCTTAGATGACTAAGAGCTTCAGGTTCATGATGAACTATATCAGTGATGTCAATTAAATCAATATAGTTCACTTGATTGGTATGTTAAATAAATTTAAGATTTTTGTAAAACTTTCATTTTAAATAATGTAGATTGTTTTGCAGTCAATGTATGCTAGCAATAAATTAAACAATATATAACTCCGGTTCTAGCTTTACATGATGTAAACATATAGGCCGACAGAAACAATAGAATCGGAATATATTTTGAAAACATCCCTGAAAATCTTGATTTTATCATTCAGATACTACTTAATAAGCTAAGAATATGTAGGAACAAAGGAGTTTTATCTATTGTACTGTTGTATATAAATACGTCACTAAAGATAGACACGCTAATCACGTGATCTGGAGAGTTGGTTAAAAACCTAAACCACGTGATCTGAAGAGATAGTAAATACTTAATAAGCTGAACCTCCACTACATGCATATTTGTCTGTTTAAAGTTATATATAGAAACAAAATTAGAATCTATATATAAATATAATTAGCCGTTTTACATAATAATCATATTGCCATTCAATTCTACTTGCACCATGTCGACAACATTACAATGTTGGCATTAGTTAAGGATGCTATGTGTGTCTATATCAACCAGAAAAATTCATCAGATTCTTATGCCAGCCAAAGTCAAAAAGAAAAACAAAGGCAAAAAACAAAGTAAGGCCATACCTTTACTTGCTTTTTCGAGTATTCAAATTTTGAATGTTTAACTTTTTAAATAAGATCTGTCACTGAGTTGTTAGTTATTTTTCTTTCATTATTCTTTATGAAAAATGAGTTTCTAAATAATGGTTTCTGGACACAAATATTATTGTTAAAGAACGTAAGAAGATTGATTTCATTTAGAAATTTTAGATAATGCTTAGACCGGGAGAACACGAACAGAGAACATTTCCCAATATTATGATAGTGTCAAGAAAATATACATGTTGTATAATATAATGACTAAATGCCAATAATTATAATATTATTTTCTAAATTACGTGTCATTTATGTGACATAACTGACACCGTTATGTTACATATGTCATACGGTTGAAAACTAGCTTAGAAAAACATTTGCTGTTTGAAGGTATCCCCAAATCTGAGATAAAATCAAGCAAATGTAAGCTCGTACCAATCAATCTGAAGACATGATTAGACTGTACAAGAGCAGCCTGTCAAGTGTGAGACCATTTTTGCCGTGCCAAATGTGAAACTTTATTTTCATGCCAGTTATGCATTACGCGTGATCACACAGTCTCGGTTTCAAATCAGGGTAATTTGAAACACATTATTGATTCACTTGAAATTTGTATATCCGTTACGGCAAAGAATATTATTTTTGCGTGTTGTGAGTAATTAAATAGCAACCAATTTTACTTAACTGCTAACAGCAATAATTTATCAAGGTATATGGCACGGACACCATACCTGAAACAAAATGATACTTTTTGGCATAACGGATACAAAACTGTGTTTATTCTGAAAGGGTAAATTGTCTGCCATGTTGTCAGTTAATATGTGATGTGATATTTCGTTTTTCTTTTTTTTAAATTTCATGTAAATGTTAGTTTATTTAGTTTTCATAGTTTGTATCCATAAAAGTGATTCTTACTTTACATAAAACTATGTAACAGTAACAAATTATGTTAACGGACTTGCTTAACTTATCGTTATATTTGTGCCATACGTTTTGTAAGAAAAAAATGTTCAAATTAAAAGTAATCCATTTGAGAAAATAGGAAAAAACAAATCTTTATTTATTTCAAAACAGAACTCTATGTTACAGAGCATAAATACACAAGATATCAGCCAAAAATTTTCTTTGGCAAAAGAGTAAAGATCCAAAGATTGTCCAAACTAATTTAATAATTTTTTAACTTCATGATTCAATTTCGCGCACAAGTTAACTAGATAATTTATTTACAAAAAAATGTTTCCTATATAACTAAAGAGAAACAGCATGTACACTATTGCTAATGTTCAGCCTTTGTTTTGTTTTTCAATTAGCATAGTTCAAGATATATCCTGATATAGGTATATTTTAATCGGGATATAAATTCACAAAATACATTAGCAAGTGCAAAGTAATTTAACACAGCCTTTAGGGAACGAGTATGTCTTCAAACACTGCCTTTATTGTAATGTTTCCTCTACCTGTTCAATATAGTTTCATATCGTTATAGTTGTGCCATTTAACATTTATTTCCCTCTTCTCGTAAATGGTCATTTTTCATATATTTCATGTTATCATTGTATACATGGACCTCATACGAATTCACTTTTACATGAAATTGTACCAATTGCACTTCTTTAAAACAATAACATAAACGTATCCAAAGGAATGTTGAATATTTAATTATTTTGGAAGTATTAATGTAAATTGGTCTATAATGGAAGGTATGTAATACACTAAATACTTACACTGATAGTGTTTAGTATCAGACATAACACAAAACCATGAAAGAATTGAGTATGGATGTTGCTGGCAAGTGTGAGATTTATGATCTGAAAGTACATATATTAATATAGTAGATGATAAAATGTTTCAGAGCAAAATATGATTGTTCATCATATAAATGTTCATTCTAAAACGCTTTGTCATCAACTTTTTTTTCAAGCAATATTTAAATGAAAAATATCTGATACATTTCTATTGTTTTAATATTTAAATTACTCCATTGTAGACCTATCAACTTTAATATATGTATATCGATTATTTTATTCAAATGCTTTAAAAGATATTAAATAATTTTAGAAATGTACTACTATTAAATTGAAAAAAGAATTTGTTAATCGGTAAATCAGCACATTTCTGTAAGAGTGAATTTTATGAAAAGTCCAAAGGTCCTTTTATCCAGTCACTTTACATTGTGAACATTGTTCTATGTCAAAGTTCATAATATTTGTTTTGAATATTTTAATGAATGAGTTATTGTTCCAAATGAAATTGGGTAAACCATCATTTATATAGTAAATAAATCCAAAGCAATACGAGTGTTTATGTTGTTTGTTGTTTCTGTATAGTAACTGAGCTCACGAATAAGGTCAGCACAAAAAGCTGAAGAGGTAATAGTTTGTTTGTTTGGTTTGATTTTATGGCACACCAACACAATTAAGGTCATATGGCACCGAAACAGGAACGATGGTTTTGGCTAACCTCGGGAATTACAAACATAAAGAAACACCAGGGATGAAAGCCTAGACTCCAGTAATTTGAACCATTTAGTCGCTTCTTACGATCACGCAGGGATGAACGGTGGTTGCAATTATGATGCCTCTACCCTTAAACGTAATCCCTCAGCTGCAAATGGTACAATGTATCAGTGTTTGGCCTTTTTGCACAAAATGATTGTATAGTGCATACACTATTTTTTCCGTTATTAGTTAGTTATTATTAAGCCGAGAAGTTGAGTTTAAAAATGGGCTTCTGTCTTTTGTATCCTGCAGTTCAAAGGACACCAAACTTTTAAAAAAGCTATCTTTTAATTGATAAACAAATATTAACAACAAAACATTTTTTTATTTTGCATATAAACAAACAATGCTGATTCAATTGTAAGTACATAACAATGCCTGAAGGTCCGTTCAATTTTGCATTTCAAGAGGCCATTCAGTTTTGCTCTGCAGCATGTAAGCCTAGGAAGGCAATACTTAATGTACGCGCCTATCATCAGTTTTCATATCTGAGCCAGTTTCGAAAGCAAGATACTTAAGTTTGGAACATTTTCGTATTTAGAAATGTTGAAACTCTACCAGTAAGGTCTGCTGAATTGGAATCGCATCGCATTTATCCCAGATTTTTATTCTTCACAACAGCAGGTGTCAAGTGCCGTGTGACAGCCCGTACTTCACTTCAGTGAAGGGGCTGTGAGAGATGCTGCATTATAAATAAATATGTATATGAAACTCGGTTTGATTGAGTCTGTACATGAAGAATAATTATATATATATAATTATTCTTCATGTACAGACTCAATTAAACCGAGTCTTCGATTTTCTTGTAATTGTGCTGTGATTTATGCTTCTGAGGGATCACCTATTTCCAGATTTTTATATTACATCAAGTTGAATGATGGTTCAAGAGTTATGAAGATATAACTTAAAGTTACCTATGGTTCGACAAATCGTAAAATTGTGGAAAAGGAAGATATCTTAGTATAATAATTACGATCAATAGCTAAAAAAACAGTAAATTCCCGGGAATGGCTTTAATACGGCAGTTCATGTAAGGCATTCAAAAGTGCAACATAGTTTACTACTACTATCTCACTAGTACTAACTTAAATGGTAGACATTCAATCCACCTCACATTCAAAGATATTTGCCTAGATTCCGAGATATTTTTTAAAAAAAAGTAAAAATAACACTGATAAGTAAATTCTTTGAATGTAACTTTCGTTTCACATCCAAATATAGGCAACTAAGTGTTTGACCCAGCCCTCGTTGATTTCAATCTTGATCAAGATACAAATCTAGAAACAAATTAATGGGTATCTTATATCAGTGTACGATCACAAGCTTCACTCGCTACTTTTATTGCTTTAACGACAGAGTTAGCAGATATATTTCTTATCAAAGCTTTCTTGGTTTATAGTAAAGATTAGTTGATACCAATAGATTTGCACTTATCTTAAACAGTATTTTGGCTTCTTGTTTTTTTTCTTCCATGATACCAATGCTGATATGGCTCTTCTTGATAAAAGTAGGAAACTATTTGGTAATTTGTGAGATTTTTCCCAGCTGAACATGTTGAGACATCAAATATTCCATGATATAAGTTTTGTTATAATTTAGTTCATCAGTTTGAGTATACTGAAGTCAACAGCCATCTGTAAAATGTAGCCGAATAGAAGGTGTATGACATTGCTAGATTTGAGGGTTACGGAAGCGAAGAAGAGATGCAAATATAGATTGCTTGTCATAACTTCATCATTTAAATAACTAGATTATCAAATACATATGCTTGATATGATAGATTTTATTTTAAAAAGTTTTAAATTTTGTAATATAACAAGGAAAAAACTTCTTCAAGAGTCATATACAGGTTACTATAACTGCAACAGAAGAAAAAAAATCAAACTTTAAATATTACGACAACAAACAAACTTATTTGATCACATACTTGCCCTTTCCGAAATTTTCTTAAGTATTATCTTTGATTAGCAAACAAGAAGCTACGACTTTAAATTGCAATTTTTCAAAAAGGTGTTACATTTGAGCTTTTAAAAATATGTAACTATATGGTATGTTCATACCAATTTTCGATATTTTCAAATGAAATTTTTGAGACAGTTAATAATTTTTTTGTAGAATATACTAATTGCAAGCGGCTTTAAAATATATTTATATCTTAGTTTAAATAAATATGTCTTGATAAATACACACGCCTTAATACATCAAACTTGTCATCATATATGCATATCAAAATAAATAATTCAGATATATAACTTGAGTGGGCTTACAATTATCTATCTTATTTTGTCAAATTTGTTCGTATAATTTTGAAAAGTATTTTCAAAAGACTATACCGATAACACATGTGTTTGCATTTTTTTTTCATAATAAAAACAATTTTCTTGTAAAATTCAATTAAAGTTTTAGTGTTACTCGTCCTTTAAACCCAGGTTTAGCACTAACAATTTGAGTTTGAAAGAAGCACAACATTTTAAATAGGACTGAAAATAAACTTCTTTTAGGAAAAGAAGATCTTGCCAGATTATGTTTCAATCGGAGTTCTTTGCCTTTTAATTGGCTGTTAATATGTTTAAGTTCAAAGATACTATGAGCTCGTCTGAGTGGTCAAGGATATGGATGATGTAACAATATTGATAGTCTTAAGCCTTCAGAATGACTGATAAGAATTTGCTCTCAATGATATAGATATGGTACTGTGATCATAAAAACATTAAATGAAAATTGATACATTTTATAAACATATTTGTCACTGAATTTTTTTTTTGTCATTTTAACCAAGTATTTTTTTATGTTTCAACGTCATCCTTTTCTCATAGTATCATCATTGTCTAAGCTCTATCAGTTTTAATTGTAAGATAACTGCACACTCTTTTTGACATTTAACTCAGAAATGAATTAAACGTAGTGTAAATATTAAGCAATTAGCTGTCGAAAGTCTTCGACATACATAGCTAATTTCACATCATTTAAGTGAACAATCACTGTCGACAAAATCTACATACATGCTGTCGTTTAATTGCCTGCATTGAATAACCAACGTGACAGTTGAAGGTCTTCAGTCGCAGACCTCGCCATATAATTGTCACTTCCCGTGTTACATTACCACTTTTGCATGTCTGGTGACATAAATGCCATCGCGATGCAGTCTGATGGGGCATTTATTTCATTTGCTCTATTCACGTTGTCTTGATCGGTACATCTTACCTTATTCCAAAAATATTTCGTTACACTAAAACGCCCCTATTCTATTTCGCGAACAAGCAGTGCAAAATAATTTGTATGGATTTAAATTATATTAAAGTTTACTGATATATCAAGATAGTCTTTAAGGCTGATAATATTCAGATTTTTCGATCAATTGAACACGAAAGAGAAAAGGGTTAAAACAAATTCATTAACACTACATTATTTAGCCATGTAATCTAAACTGTCATAATTTTAAGTCGCGATCTTTGAACCTTTGGAGTATAATTATTATATATTTCCTTGGCCGATTTATTTTTAATTGTTGTTCAGAAAAATTAATATCCAGTAACGGCAGTAAGCCGTATATGGTTTACAATTAACAATTGTAACATTGTTTTCAAATCATAAGAGTATATAAATTATGTTTTGACAATTACAATTGTGTTATTCTGACGTATATATACATCAAACTTATTTGCCTTTTCAAGGCTATATCACAGGCACTTGTATTATAGAACAGAATCGAATTATTACTTATATAAATATTTCACCATCGTTGGCACAGTATCATAATTTCAAATCAACAATTTCAGCAGACACAGATGTAAAAAAATCTGGCAACAAAGTGATCCCTCGGAAACATTAATCACAACAAAATTACATAAGAATTGCAGACTCGGTTAGATTGAGTCTGTACATGAGGGATAATGAAAATAAGTGCAACATCCCTCACGCCCCATAGCACCGGCTTGAGCGGTACTCAATTCTCAACACTTACTAGTGCTGGCATCAATGATCCGTAAGCCGTAAGTGACAGACATTTTGATTTTTTTTTTTGATACGTAAAAATATTTTGTTTTGTTTTCGAAAACAAAAGTTTTCTTTCTCGTGTTAAATGCATTTTGAGTACATACAAAATAAGAATAACAACCAATTGCGCTTTCATCTTTATTAGACATAATAGCTGTTTGAAATTTCAGCATGAAAAAAACAACATATTATACAACAGCACTTGTCAAGCAACACAATGTATACAATATATAACAATATTTTATACATGTATTAACTTGGAGCAATATCTATTAACATTTTTTTACAAATACACTTACATATAGAATTTACAAGAAATGTATATAGTTCAAGAAACATTCATTTAACAAAGTCTTTTCTTTCATATAAGAATCTCTATATTTACAGAAGCTATATTGTTTAATTGTTTTAAGCTGACATCGAATGTTCAAATATTACAACCAATTAATGCATTCCTTACTTGTAAACAACCCAAATACTATAATTTATTTATTGTTTACAATAACGGTCTGTTTTAATGTTTTTAGGCGATTCACAGTAAAACATTTTTATAGTCACCCCTTTATATCTGCGTAGGTTGCTTCTTCATGTGAAAATATGTGTATATAAAAAAAAACTTTTTAAATGTTTTTTTTTCCTGTGTAAGTACGTATATCTTTCTATCTATTATAATACTTTGTCATCAGACAGACAAAAACTGTATTTAAACACCTGCGTTTGTATATACGCTATCAAAAGTATTATTGACTCACACTATGCTAGCTGTATTTGAAGTGAAACCTAAAGACCTGGTAACAGGGCGGCGGC